GTAACCCATATTTTTATGAGACACTAAATTGCAAGAACACCACGGTGTGCCCTTGGCGTGCCCGTGCCCTTGACGAAACCCTGCGTCGGCCCACTCGGCCAGGAAGCACCAAATCCTTTATTTCGGAGCAACATAACCTTTATTTTCAAGATGCACCCAATTCCAGAGAGTACCAGAAAGAGCCCTGACTATTTTTTTTTTTCTGAAAGAGCCATGAATTCCATGGGCATAACTATGTTGAGCGTTCCGCCCTGATAAAATCCTGGATCAGACCCTTGCCCAAGGGTGCTTCAAAGTGTACTGAATAAAAGTGGGCCATTTATAAAATGCAAAATGATAATTTTAAAAGTGCACCAAAGTCCAGCGGCATCACAGCCGGTGTGCCTTTCACTTTGAAAAATTCTGAATCGGACCGTTCAGAGAAGGGGCACCCTATTCAGCGAAACGGGCACCAGCAGCCTCCGTGGTCATTGGAGCTTTACGACACGTCATCGCAATGCCCGTGCCACTTCATTAACGAAATCCTGCAGTCGGCCAAGGAACACTTTGCTTTCGGACCACCACTGCGTTTATTTCCTTGGGACACCAAATGCAAGTGGACGATTGAAAGAACAATTGAAGGTGGTCCAAAATTATCGTTTCAAGGGGCACCGAAATACAGGGGCCCACAACTTTCCTGCCATACACTCTGACGAAATCCTGGCTCGGCTCCTCTGGTGAAAGACATCAAGAACCTTGATTGCGAAGCGTCAGAACATTTGTTTTAGGAGCACCCAATTTAGCTTGGAATGCCACAATCAGCCCGAATATTTGTTTTGATATGATGCAAAATTCCAGTGCCCTTTAGAATGGCCCTTAAAGCTTTATTTTGGCGGGGAACCAAATTATGCACGACTCCCCCATCCTACCGCTTGACTCCGAGGGTCCCATGGGTCCCGAGTGTCATTTTTTTGGTCTCTTGAAGCCGAAGATCAAGAGCTCGATTAAAGGGTTCGAAGGGCAGGCCAGAGGTCGTATGGAGGGATCACAGCCCCAAGGTCGGACCCTGAAATGTTAGGGTAGCTCTAGCACTGATGGGAGACCCCGTGCAGCTGTGTCTCTATTTGAGGCAGCTGACTGAGAACAGTAATATCAAACAGTCATTACGTGCCATTCTGGGGCCTAATGGTCATTTCCCGAGAAGAGACATGACCAAGATCTCTAAATGTCAATCAGAAGGCATCCTTCATTCGTCGGGACACCTGAAAGAATGAAGAACCCATATTTCTGGTCAGTGAACACGGTCCCTGACAGGAGACTATGTATCGGCAGTGAGCCCCAGGTCGGCCAGGCGCAGATCTGCTAAACAGGGACGGTGATGGGACCCCGCATGGCAAAGTGCTTATTGTGCTAGTCTGGCCCCTCTTGATAATTAAGGGACTCATAAAAAATGACATAAAATGTTCACATGTACAATGAGACAGAGGAGAGGCCTGTGCCCGTCAGGGACACTAGTACAGTGCCGGACGAGGGATACCCTGCACCGTTCTAACCAGGGGCCGATATGGCGAACTAGTGTCTCGGTACCAATTATTGGACTTCCTGTGTCAATAAAGAGTCTGTTTGCATCAGCAAGGGCCTCTGCGCCGATCCGTTGCAGGGTGTCTCAGTCAGACGACCAGCCGCATCAAAGAGGGGACCGGTTGTGATGCATCCTTCTGAGGGTCTTCGTACGGTCCTGGGGGCAATCGCATTCTAGAAGCCGCTGGGCACCCCTAGGATGAGACGGAATGCCCTACAGCTGCTGACCAGAACGCTTTAACAATGCAATGCAGCTGGCTGACCAATTGATTCTCTAAAGGCAATTAGCAGTTGCAGCATTACGAGCCAGGGAGATTACGCCATTGAGCCTTCCCGTTGCGCCATCCCGTGATCCGTTCCGACTACCAATCTCAGAATTGTAGTAATGAATTATGCGGCAAGGGCACACACGCAAACCCATTGATTTAATAAAGCGTTGGTAGATACCAATGTCCGATGCATGGTCATTTCCACCCGTCTGTTGGTCGCTGTCAGGTGTTGCTGCGAGGTTCCGTATCCTACAATGGTGTAACTCCAATATTTTTGTTCCGACGTCTCACAGAGCACCTCGCGGGGGAGCACCAAGGAATCACGTACAGCTCGACCACAAACAATACTCTCCTTGCGCGCCAAGGCCACATGGCCACAAAGGACTTCTAAGGAAACAAATCAAACTGCTGAATTATCCTCTTTGGAGCAGCATCACAAATAAATCACTTGGACAAGGATCGAGACACTGATCAATGGCGTGGGTATTGGGTGATTGGCATGCAGTGCTGTGATTTACTGTGTTGGTTGTGATATTTACAGCGTGCGGTGTCTTATGATGTCTTCTGCACGGCTGAATAACTGTCTGTTGTTGTCAAGCCAAAACAACGATGAGTGCTGTCCAGTGAAAAATGTGTTGTTGGTTTGCATGCTCGTGCTTTATGTCCTGCCTTCAAGTGTTTAAAGTAACGAAATGAAATAAAAAGTCGGATAATAGGAGACCCAGTCACTAATCACATAGCATGCACGTTCTGCGAGCTTTGTGTGTCTGCCGTCAAAAAAGTATATATATATATATATATATATATATATATATATATATATATATATATATATATATACATGTGTGACTGTGACATGTGACATGTGACTGTGACATATATATACATGTGTGTGTGTGTGTGTGTGTGTGTGTGTGTGTGTGTGTGTGTGTGTGTGTGTGTGTGTGTGTGTGTGTGTGTGTGTGTGTGTGTGGTGTGTGTGTGTGTGTGTGTGTGTGTGTGTGTGTGTGTGTGTGTGTGTGTGTGTGTGTGTGTGTGTGTGTGTGTGTGTGTGTGTGTGTGTGTGTGTGTGTGTGTGTGTGTGTGTGTGTGTGTGTGTGTGTGTGTGTGTGTGTGTGTGTGTGTGTGTGTGTGTGTGTGTGTGTGTGTGTGTGTGTATACATCATTGTTAAACGTTCTGTGCAATTCGGGCAAAAGCACCGGCCAGAACTAACAAGGCACCATATCAGAGTGATCGGAAGCAGCAAACTCAACAGTCACTACATCTCCTCACGTGTACACCGCGAAAATGCAAGAAAACTAGGGAAGGGTTCTTACTTTGTGAGCTCCCTAGCGTCCAGGTCTCTATCCACCAAAAATGCTCGCATTCGGACGATTAAGTTTTAATATTCTTAGGTATGTAATTCGTATACGGAAACCTAGTGTACTGTGCGAAGCCCTAGAAAACTAGGCGCGCTACGTTTGCAAATACATGGAGCCTGTTTATATTCGCCAGATCATGGTGGATCCTGTCATGTTAAGGCTGAGCATTTCGGAGAAAACATGGCGACATGCACTTCAGATTGGCTGCTAAATATCATCGAGGTCCAGCACAGATTTGATTCCTAGCTCATATACGGCTAGCCGGGTAGTTGATGGGATCAGCCGATGACTGAGGACTAATGCAGAGTTTTTGCTTTGGCTGTTGCAAGGGAATACAGAATATCCTCTCCTTCAAAATGTATTAATAACGTAACGTATAAGCAAAATTTTGTCACAACTTCAACAAACAACGAAAATGATACGCGTGATTTAGGCGGCGTGTAAAATTATGCTCAACAATTACAACAACAAAGTCATCTGCGTAAACAGCACAGCCACAAATTTAGCCATCAATAGGTAAGACGTAAAGCCCCAATGAAACTTATTAAGACTTAGGTCCCCGTCAACGGCATAGGCCCTCCTATAATGTGGGGAAAACCCGAAACCAATAACGACGGCATCTGAGCGATCGAAACTGCCGCGGCAGGCCAATAAAGAGCTTGCTGTCGACAGTGAAGGGTCCTCATAACAAGCGAGAAGAACATAACACCAATATGGTGGGATACCTGAATGATTGGAGTACCCCGGCAGGCTGACATATAGGGTCCGGCCAGGGCACAAGATCCTCTGAGCAAAGGGGATCAACCGGAGATCAGTGTGCATGAATTAATGCTCCTGTGTGATCAAAAGTGCCCGGGCAGGGTTGACAGATAGCACTCTGACATGTGAGGGGTCCTCAGCAAATAAGCTCAAAAGGGAAAGAGTCATAGATCAATGAAGAGAGACACTGAGCATCGAGTGCCTCGGTGCGTGACTTTATAGGGCCCGAGCAACTGCACAGGGTCCTCCAAGCCAGTGGAAAGAGCCTGACACCAAAATGAAGGGCCCCTGAGCAACCGAGTGTATCCCGGCAGCAGCGGCGGGCGGGAGAGCCCGCCTGCCCCGCGGGCGCAGCGGTCCCCGCCAAGCCCGTGCTGTCTGCCATGTCTCCGGCTGTGGCTCCGCCCTGTTCGCCTGTGCCCAGTCAGGTCCACTGGTGAGGCCCGTGGCGCGGCAGCACCTAGGCCGGACACGGCCTCCAGGCGTCTAGGTAATCTATAGTAGCCATTCTCCACTATACGCATCACGTGATCATTGGTGGAATGCCAGATTATTTGTGCTATCTGTTGGTAAGAGCGGGAAATAGCAACAGGAGTAATAAATCTTTCTGTAGTACCATCTAGCGGCAGGAATCCAAACTGGCCTTAGTGCCGGGGATGCTGGGGGTTTTGAACACTGGACTTTACGACTCTGGATTTTGCAACTCTGGACGTTAGGCCTCATAAACGCCCCCAATGGGCACATAATTGGACGCAAAATGGGCGTTACGAGCGCTGGGTGTTGCGATCTTGGACGATATGAACAGCGGACGCTGCAGTCCTGAACGTTTTGATGGCTCCCCGGCAGGAGGGGCCACTTGGGACACTATGGAATGATTCCCAGTGACGTCAAGCAATGGCTCGCGCAGATCGTGAAGAAATTGTTTGGTGACTTTAACTCGTCCACAAAGTGCCATAGTAATAGAAGCCATGGAAACGGTGGGATGTGGACGTGGGGGGTGCAGTCAGTGCGTGCATAGCGGTGTATTGGTGTGAGTAGGACTAGGTGCGAATTTATTAATGCCATTTTTGAAAGTGAAATACTGAAATGCCTTTTTTGTACCTTCCGCTGAGCTTGGGAATCCAAATTTGCTGTATTTGAATGTTACTAGGTTCCAAGATTGTGTTACACCATACTATCTGCATAACAAAGCTGCACTATGGTAGGTGTTATACTCAACAGTGAATCATTCATATTGCTACCAAGGTTTTAAATTAGGTGGCATGTTTACTTAGGATGACTATTTTACAACCTTTGACACCAGTGTTGATGACTTATGTGTATACAAAGCAGGATATACCCATCAATTTCATTACAGTATTGATACATGGGTATATACCCACTGCAGATGGGTAGACCATGTCTCAGTTGGTCTACATCTGCTACCTATTTATCTTCCACTTCTCAGGCAATTTACACACATCAAAGCATTGTTGCATTTTCCTTAGCAACCGATCTATTTAATTGAGTATTTTTTATGCTAGGTGGTTCAAATTCAGTTGTAGGAATAGTGCTTAAGATGAATTTGTTTGCAGAAAACAACATTCCAAAATGTGCTGTGATGACATGTGTTTTCTGCATAGTTGGTTCAAATCTGTTCATTGCTGAGAGATGAATGCAAATCATGTATAGCATCTGGCATGCACAAATAATGTTTTTTTATTATCATGTTGCTGTTCCCTTGTTACAACAGTAAATCATCAGGTATGAAGAATGTATAGTTCACTTTTACATCAGTCATGAACTTGAATACTTAAAAATCTGTTGAATTTCATCAGCAGTGGCATTAGACTAGCAGTGCTCCATCTTATTGGCAGCTGAGATAAATACATACAATTGTTTTTCATGTCAGGAATGAAACATGGGCAACCCCTTTAAAGTATGTGTGTATAGTGTATGAAGTATGCATGAAGGCAGCTGATTGCACATATCCTTCACACAACATTTTCATGCATCATTTTGTTTAAAACTTGTTTGAGATGATGTGAGAAAGAATGTGCAGCATATTGCCAGTAAAGTAACTGTCAGCTTGGCATTTTTGTCAAATTAACACACAACATCATGCATTTTTAAAGACAGTCACAGCACATGTTTTTCATGGCCCCACAGCTGCTAGCTGTATTAATAATGTTCAGCATTTGAGTATGTAAATACATTAATGGCAGAATATTTGAAATGTTATCCACAATGACAGTATATAGCAACAAGCTTAAGGCCCAGTCTATGATCAGTGCTTAGCTAGTTGTGCACTACACTGCTAGTGGTGTGCCGTTGGTGTGCCATTGGTACATAAGTCCTATTTGTGCTTGCCATGGGATACAAATGTGTATTTCAAGTTTTTTAGCCTGATGATTTTTGGCATTTCAGGCCAGTGTTAAATGTATGACAGCTTCAAAACATCTGAAGAGAGAGTGTCTCATCCTATACATGTCATCTCTTTAAAGCAAAGTTCAATATACTGCAACATAACATATGTAATTTAAGGAAAGATGGAAGCACTAGAGGATGCCTTCAGAGTGCTAGGTCTGGATTCTGGTAAGTAGTGTTTTTTTTGTCATGTCACAGGAATCAGTGTTTTGGGTACTCAAGGTGCAGTTGCACCCTCTTCTGATGTGTTGAGGGAGGAGGGATTGGTGGTGCTGTCAGTGTTCCTGTTGTCCAGGTGCTGTGCCTGAGCAGGCATCTCTCTGATGGGTGTTGAGGGAAAGGGGGGATGGTGGTGGTGTCAGTGAGCCTGTTGTCAAGATGCTGTGCTGGAGCAGGCATCTTGCTAATAGGGTGTTGAGGGGAGATGGATGATGGTGGCTTCAGTGTACCTCTATCAAGATGTCATCCTGGAGTGATGGGTGTTGAGGGGGAGCGGGGACGGCGGTGGTGTTAGTGCTCCTGTTGTCAAGACACTGCTGGAGCGGACCTCTCGCTGAGGACCATGCCTGCACGGTTTCAGACGCCACCTTGGGCGAGGTTTACACCCGCTACCACCAGATCATGGCCAGCGGGAACGTGCGGCCGGACGGCCGGCCGCGCACCAACCTTCCAGCCGTGCGACACTCATTCAACATCATCATGCAGCACATGCAGATTGCTGGTGAGAACCGAGCATCAGGCAGCCCATGCAGTGCCATGCTAAGGACCAACTGTCGTTCATCAGATGTGGAATCTGGATACTGTGTGGGTTGGATCCTGCTCTCATGCTGAAGAGGAATTGCCTTGATGAAGGACATGCGGATCCCTTGTATAATCTGGACATTGTGCAGCCTATGCAGATCCCTGGATGCGGGCACTGCACTTCACAACAGGGTGCGAGATGACATGCGTCGAGTTCCCTAAACAAATAAGGTAGTGAAGAGTGACACTGGTCCCCATGGGTCTGTGTCAGACCCCTGGTTAAGGCTATGTCCATCCCAACAGATAGGAACGTTATCACCTGAACGACAGGCACAACCAAACTCATTGCTCTCATATTTCAGCACTTAATGGGGCTGTTTCAGGCGTTTATTGCGTCATTTTGCCAACGCAAGCATGGCTCTCAAATCTTTGAGGTAGGAACGTACAACTCTGGCATGATCTAACACGCGGCGTTGAATTGAACAGCGCACCCCAACCGCGTCTTGCTACGCAGTGTAAGACGCTAGACACAACTGTGTCGCCCTTCGTGTGGTTTGTATCGTGTCTCCACAAGGCAGCAGATCCACCACATCCCCGTGTTTTTGTTTATGATTGGTCAGTACGAAAGACGTTCTACGAGAACTTGTCTGCGGTCAGATGGCGCGGGTCCGTCGGCTTGGCTGGGGGGCGAGCCTGCAAGGGACCCTGTTCGCTAGGCTAGGGTGGCAAGCGTAGATGAGGCCCTAGTCCCGTTGGCTTGGCTCGGATGGCGAGCCTGGAAGGGGCCCCGTTGCCGTCCAATGCCGGTTGAGCCGCACGGGGTTCAGTGGAGGAGAGTGCCCGCGCTATATCCATGACATGTTCCTACCTCAGTTGTGCGTTTGGCAGTGGAACTGCAGCGAAGCGTCTTGAATGCATTTCACATCATAAGTACTCGGGAATAGTCAGTTTTTCCTGCTGAATGGTGTCTAGAAAAGACTGGAAGGTGTATTCTGAGTATGATATCACGTCGGTTCCTTTCACATTGGATCCTGGACACCAGACGCCATCCGGCCGTGCAGACAACGCCCCTTATCGGCGGTCAGTTGCACTGGCTCGTCGGCTCATCGCAGCGGGTGGGCAGGCTGGTGCAAAGTCGCACCAGGCGACCGTAATTCGCTTGTTCTGGTGGAGGCGAGCCGGTGGCCGACGTATAACGCACGAGCCGACATCCGCCTACGGGCGCTGACGTCTGCTGTGTCGTCGTGGCACAGCTGGTGTTTATTTGTCTGTTGTGTCACGGCGCTCTGTGCGCTGCTGCACGCCTTGTGCTAGTGGTTGACAGGTGGTGTCCCAGACGGCATTGGCGCCGATTGCCCTTCTTCAACTTGGTGTCACTGCAGTCGAGTGCTCTGGGTTAGATTGTCAGGGCTGATCAGTTGGTGACCGGCCGTTATCGGCCCGCCAGATTGACTCACTCGCGGGCCAGCTGGCCGTTATCGGCCCGCCAGATTGACTCACTCGCGGGCCGGGGGACGGTATGCCGCCCGCAAGCCTTGTGACGTCACCGGATAGGGCCGTCGCTGTCGCGGCGGCCGGGCGCGGTGGGCGGCGCTTTGTTTGCAGCTGTTGCAGCGGCTCGCCCGTGGTGGGGCCGTTGAGACGCCGTATGGCCGAACAGAGCCGCCGAACTGCAGCCATGGACACTATCACGGCTGAGCGCCGGTCACTTGGGGGCGGGGCGGTGGGCGCCTCACGAATGCAGCCTGTCCAGACCAGGGGAGCGGCCCGGGACGATACCGACCGATCCAGGCGGGCTGGCGGTCGGACGGCGCCGCTGGGGCCACTGAGACACGGACGGGGGAGGGGCCGCCCGGGGAAAGCCCGGGATGATGACATGCGCTCGGTTTGGGACGAGGCGGAGCAGCGTTAAGTGTGTGCAGTCAGCACTGGCATCGGGCGGCGGGCTGCGGCGAAGATTGGACCAGTCATCGTACTGCTTTTCCACGAGAAGGAAGCCACTGGCCCTGTTGGCGAGAGGCCGCTCTGAACATTGTTATTCCACCCACGAGGTGGTGCAGTGGTGCAAAAGTACTGTAAATTATGGAGACGGTAACGAAATGGACTAGATTAAATTCCATGACTCTACTTTTGCCCGCTCTCAGTCGCGACACTCACGTTGTCCATTCTTCGCTCCTGCAAAACGCGCCTCCCCGCCTAATTCATGCCACCTGCAACGGCATCGCGAAGTCACGCAGTGTCGGCACTGTGCCGATGGCCGTGGGAGGGCGGGCGGTACGCCGCCGCCGCCGCCACTGTCGGCGGACGTGCGGCGGCGGTGGTCTGATGTCGCCACCGGCTTCTGTGCAGATTTGCTCATCGCCGACGACGACGACGAGGACGACAACGACGAGGACACCTTTTCGGACAGTTTTTTCTCGCCGGCCGACTACTACGACACGGACCAGCTGCGTGAGAGCAAGTTCAGCCGTCGCCGAACGAGCCCTGGTGAGTGGCGCCGAGTCGAGCCGCGGCGGCCGGACATCGGCCCAGCCCGCTCTTTCGAGTGGGCTGTCGTCACTTCTAGGCTTACGTTGGCCTCACAGGGGTTTGTGTATAGCTAGGCTGGTGATTATTGTAAACACTTTAGTTTCGGACGGTGTTTTGTGTGACCCCAGTGGAAAAATCGAGATCATCGAACGCGCTCAAAAGTGTTGAATAGCCCTGAACCATTGTGCACTGTGCGTTGCCAAACTTGAGCCGGGTTTGCAGCAGCGCTTTCTATTGGCAGAACTCCCAGGTAAGGTAATTGTAAGACTGCCGAGATAGGAAAGTCAGGAAAGTCGTGGCCACGGCTGTGGCGCGTTTGGGGACCGGATAGACCAGTTTTCGAACGTTTCTCATTTCGAATGCGAAGGAAGACTAGACATTTTGCCCTGTCTCTGTATGGCTGGCAATTTTCGTTAGGTCATGTCAAGGTCATTGCTGTCAATTTTCGTGAGGTCATGTTACAGCTACCTCGACCGACTCGCAGGTGACTAATGGCATAATTCAAGGACGGCTCCGCTAGGGAAGACGGTCATTCCATACTTTGTGACCGACCAACAGACGTTATTCAATAGAAAGGCTGATTGACGCTTCTCATAAGATCTCAGGCAAATCTCATAACATTTCTTCAGAATTTCTTATATTCCGGGGAGTCTTAAATGAGTCTTATATGTTCTTGCCTTCCGTGAACAGCCAACAGAGTGGTCCGGACGTGTAACCCGATTCAAGTGTCGTGGACTAAGGAAGCACTTCCCAGATGTTCTTATTTATTTATAGAATTGGTGGAGTATTGTTATCTATAGAGTATTATTTACATCTAGGTTTACGGTGGCCTCACGGATTTGTGTATACCTAGGCTGGTGATTATTGTAAACACTTCAGTTTCAGACAGTGTTTTGTGTGATCCCAGTGGAAAATAATACTTTCTCCAAATATTCTTATTTACTTATATATTTATTCTTAATAATCTCCAGATTACTTATTTTGCATGTTAATCTGGTACGCTGGTAGGCATGATTCATATTTGTATTTTGAGGGTGAGTTGGATGACTCTGTAAGCCAACCATGTGAAAGATATTGACGTTTTTTGTGGGGAAGCAGGAAGGAGCCTGTCCTTAATTCAACACATGATTTGTATCTGGATTTAACCATTTTCCATTTTTATCCAACAAGTTTTGTTCATAAGACAAATAATGATGCCACGAGTTATGTTATGAGGCTATTTTGTTTCATGCTCTTGATTATTTTCCTCAAATTTGTTGAAGGGGTCCCTCATGTCTGCTCTAACAGGATTTCATCAATAGTTGCCATGGTTTGCTAACTGGCAAATGACTGCATTGTAGATATGCACTATATTTTAGCGCAATAATACTCTAAGCTGCATAGCAAATACGATATGAGGTGGGCATCAGTTTTTTACAAATAGTCAGACCTGCCCCATTTTAAATATGAAACTAACATTTCAAACTTTGTTATTAAATATGAAATGTAAACCTAAATGGATGCCTATGCTGCAGCTGAACGTGCAATTACCAAAACGGGTTTTATGACCATCTGTAAGTTATGTTAAGCATGGAGAAGAGAGACTTAAGTGAAGCATGCCCACTATTGCCCTTGACAGAGCCTGACAATGACAATCAGAATACATTGTTCAGGGTGATTTGAGGTGTTCTGTTTTGTGTGCCATCAATTTTGTCAGGTGTCAGCAGGCTGACACAAATGAATTAAACCAGAACACTACTTGAGACCAGCCAAAAATAGCTTTATCATGTTTTTATCACAAGTGCTGCTGTCAAGAGATAGGTGAGGTGAGTTGAGATGATGTTCAACATATGGGCTACTCTTAGTTAAGTTAATTTAGCTGGTCAATTGGATGACGAGTAAGATAAGATGATCTCAGGATTCTTCAGACCAGGCTTAGTTAGGCTGCTTTAATGGAAATCACATTGTCATTTTGTAAGAAACAGTGACATAATATTCGTGTTGCCCGACCTCATCCTGACAGAAGCCAGAGGCATGTCCGTTGTGTTTGACTTGGTGATGTATCGAGGTGCTATAGTCCATGACTTTTTGTTTGAATGCTTTATGCTTGTTCAATGTTTTGTTGTTGTTTGTTTTCTAACTCCTCCGCTCTGTTTTGTGTTAAAAAATCTTGTGTAAGCTAAATACAAAGTGCAGCATCAAGATACTGGTGCTACACGGTTTTTGGTGCTCATCACACTGTTATGAAATTACTTATCTTTCATGTGTTTGGTTTCACTTTAATGGCCTAAGATGTTAAAAAACGAAAGGTTTGTCATGTTTATAAGATTACGTCCATACCAACTTGGAGTGTATGTCTGTGTTCGCTGGGACATCTCTCACGCACCCATAAGCACCAACTTTCGTGATTAGAAATTTTCGCTCCTGTACGGTCTTTTTGCGATGTGATAATTCACTCTCTAGTTCAAAAACGATTCTAGCTTACTAACTGCGGCGCTTGTTGATGTCTGGAAGCATACGTTCAGGTCGTTTTCACCATACCTGTTAGACTAGGTATGTCTTTGAAGCACGTACATTGTGGGCGATATTGTTGGATGCCCCCCCCCCCCCCCCCCCCGATCGCAATCTTGTTCCTAAGCCATCCGCGTTCGCTGTCGCTGCCTGCAGTGACGGAGCGTGCTTGCGTTGCAGACACGGGCTATCGTACTAACACGGATGGCGCGGCGGTGGCGGCCTGCGCCACCAGTCTGGTCCAGGAGGAGGAGAACGCCAAACACGAAAACAGAAAGACCAATGTCAAAAAGAAGAAGAAGAAGAAGAAAAAGAAGAAACCTGATTCCTCTATCGCTGTCAACGTTAATAATAACAGCAGTGATGCTCGTAACGAAAATACACCGTGAGTTAAATCCAATCTTGAATTGATCGTTTCGGAGCTGGTTTATGTGAGAAACATTCGAATTAACCACCTGAAGATGTGTCCTGGGTTCATCTGGGAATATTTCATGCTGTAGACCAAACGAAGACCGCGGGTCTATGTACACCAGTCTTCGGGCTGTGTGAGATGTTCATGACCAGTTGCATTGCCCCGTGCAGAGCCAGTGATTCGGACGGGGAAGGTCTGGACCTCGATTCGGCCTTCGCCAAGGCTGCCCGCAAAGCGTCCGCTGAGAAGCTAGCGGCAGCCAACGGCAGCAAGACCGAACCCAAGCGAGCGGCGGGCAGGGCGACGCCAGCACAGGTGACCCCCCCCCCCCCCTCCCCCCCACGTCTCAGGTGGCGGCGGCTGACGGCGGCGGCGGCCGCCGACGGCTGGGAGGACCGACCGGCGCCGCGGCCGCACAGCACCGCCAGGCTGCGTGTGGCACGAGCTGTGCTTCTGTGTGCGGCTCGTTGGCTGTGACGTGCCCCGCTTTGCCTGACGTGTGTTTGCGTGCATGCTACACTGAACTTGGCAGGGGAGCGGCGTTAGACCACGATGGGTCGTGTCGGGGCTGTGGCCTGTGCAGTCACAGTTCGCACTCGTCCGCGCTACACCGCGCCCGCGTTGTTCGCCCTCGTGCCCATTTTGACCCAAGGCCCATCCCCAACTTGCTCTCCCTCACACCGGCCCCGGCGTGCGCTGTCCGGGGGCGTCCCGCGCCGCTCGGCGCTGATGGCGCCGCCGGTCGCCAGGGTGCCGCCGCCGCCGCCGCCGCCGCGCCAGCGCCGCCGCCGCCGGACACCGTGCGCGAGCGGGCCCATAAGCTGGGTGCCAGCGGCACCGAGCTGGCCAAACGCGGCCAGTATCCGCAGGCCGTGCAGGCGTTCACGCAGGCGGTCCGGCTCGACCCGGACGATCATCGCTTCTTCGGCAACCGCAGCTTCTGCCTGGAGCGGCTCCAACAGTACGACAAGTGAGTGGAACCCCCGACGCTGGGCCGGGGCCGGGCGGTTCGCGCTGCCCTGCCGACCGCTGGGGCTGAAGCGACCGAAACCAGGAGCGATCGAGGGGGGCCTTCCGGGCTTCCGGGCAGGTGAACGCCCTTCATATAGGCTCGTGATGTGCTCCCATCCGGCGATCGGTCGTCGCTGGCTGCGGTGGCGCCGGAGCTGTTGATCGGGTGTGTCGTGTCATGACAACTCGAGCTTTGGCCACTATCGTAGTAAGAACACTATCCAGTCAATTGCGGTCGGCCGCTGTGGAAGTTACCAGCGTCTTTTATGGCGCATGCTGGGGACCATGGTGGTGGCGCGCCGTGGCGTTAAGGCCCAGGTTACGCCGCGGCTTTGTCCTCATTGTCGGGCCTGTCGTGATGGTGTGCTCTCCCTGTGCCGGCTGATCGGGCAGCCAGCCGTGTACCCGTGCGTATGTCGGCTGTTGACTGTTGTAAGGCGTGGCGTCCTACCGCTGACTGGTTCCTTGCCGTCCATTCAAGAGCCCTGAAGGACGCCGAGCAGGCTATACAGATCGATCCGTCTTGGCCGAAGGGATATTTCCGAAAGGGTCGAGCCTATCTGGGGCAAAAGGTGAGTATCAGGTGTTTACTTTGGCCCGTGACAGCTACACATAATTTTGTTTCGAAGAGCAACTAGAAGCTATCACTGACCATGATGTATCGCGTCTTACATCTTATTATATTAATGACGTTTACTATGCATGGTGACACTAGTGGCCGTAACATTTCAAAGCCTTTGCATCTGCTGGCTGGTTTGCGTTTTGTGTGCCAGTTTCGTCCGGTCTGATCACATGCCCGAAATAGTTTCACTCCGAAATGTCTGAGTTAAGATTGGTGCACGTAATAGTATCCCCTTTCAAAGGTCACCGTAAATGAAGGTGTTTCGTTCTCGCTGGAAGTACCAACTTTAGAGAATGGGTGATGTCGTTGCCATATGACAGTACTCGCCTGTAAACTTTTGTACCTAGACTCTCGCATCCTGCTTGCAGTGGTGCATATGGAACATGTCAGTTTACTGCCCCTTGCGCATCCAGTGTCATGCCAGCGGAACCTTTCAGTGTGACGGGAACATTTATATTTGATGCGCTCATGTTCGCCCAACCTCATTCAACATACCTACTATAATAAGTGGTCGTAGTAGTCTATACAACTGCTGTGCAATTATACTATGGCACCAATAGGCATGCCAGTATTTACTCATCAGGTTCATATCAAACTCTCCTGCACCTTCCCTCAGAAATATCAGGAGGCGGAGGAGGCGTTTCGGCACGTTTTGAAACTGGACCAGGACGTCCCCGAATGTCGTCAAGAACTAAAAAGGCTAAGCGTTTACAAGCTGATGACAATGGGATTCGAAAAGAACCGCGCGCGATCCGCCATCGAACAGTACGGCACGGAGGAGGTTAGCACGGCTGATGACAGGCAGCACTCGAGACCACTGCACTGATGTCCTTCTGGACCCGAGGCTGTGACACCTGCGGGATGTCGCGGCCGCCGTGTGGAGTGTGTCTGCCGTCTGCCAGTCTGCCGACCCTATCACGTCTGCCGCTCCGACGCTCCAGTGTGACGTGTTGGCCGCCTTCGCGCGGCGCCGGCACCGTTGCTGCGTCTGCCTTACCACGTCGTGTGTCGTGTCGTGTCATGTCGTGTCGTTCCGTACCATGCGGTGCGGTGACGTGCCGTGCCGTGCTATGCCGTGTTCGTGTCGCGCCATATCGTGCCATATCGTGTCATGTCATGTCATGCCATATCACGTCATGCTGACGGCCCTGCGGGTCGGCAGGCGGCCGTGAACGCCCTGCTGCGGGGCGACGTCCGGGACGACCTGGACATCAGCCCCGAGTGGGACTCGGACGACACGGGCGAGCCTACGCCAGGCCGATCTGTCGACCCCAAGGAGGAGTGAGTGGACGCGTCCGGCTGGCGGCGGTTCGGTCGCCCGTCGGGACGGGGGGGGGGGGGGGGAGATGCTGCCGCCGCTGCGGATCGGATGCGGCGGGCCCCGCATGCGTCTGGGGCCACGAGAGCCCTGCCGGGCCTGCGCCGCTGAGAACGCGCGCGTCGTGTGTCCACTTGTGATCGTTCGGCGCTGCGTCCGGCGGCTGCGGGTGGCAGCGGCCGTGTCGGCTGGGGCCGCCCGCTCCTCGGCGGCCCGTGTGATCTGTGGGCGCGTGACCCGGTCCGACTGACGGTGTGCCTCGCCCGCAGCCCATCCAACGTCGAGGGCCTGACTTCGCTCTGGGTGGGGAACATCATGCAGTCGGTGACGGACAGGGACCTCGCCGCCCTGTTCGCCAGGTAAAACGACTGGTCCGCGCGGCGTCAGTCTTCTGTTGACCTCTGTTAGGATACCGGCTCTGCTGTACGCCAGTTGTGCCGCCCTCGCTAGACCTAGGGCCTCGCAACCGCCAATGGGGGATAGTTGTCATGAAGCGTGCGCTGCATTGGCGGAGTCTACTGCGACCTGGATTCTTTTCTATAGTATTAAGTTTCATATTCTAGTTAATTTTCTGCTCATTAACTCTGGGTTCGCATGACTGACTAGTGCTCCCACACTGGCCAAAGACTCATGACCGTGCCGACTAGTGTCATAGAGCCGTGAAGAGCAGGCGGAGCCCGGCCGCTTGCTCCACCTGTCTGTACGCCTGCCGGCGCGCAGGCATGCTGGACCAGCGTGCCAGTGACAGGCGATGCTGACCTCGCTAGACACGGTGCCGTCACGAGCGTGCGCGTGCTGCCCGACCGCTTCTGCGCATTCATCAACTTCGGCGACAAGAAGGGCGCCAGCCTGGCCATGCAGCACCTGCAGGGACACGAGTTTCACGGTAACCGGCTCAAGATCAAGTTCCCGGACAACCCGATCGTCAACGGCCAGCAGAAGATCGTGCTCGGCAAGAAGGGGTGAGCGACCATGGTCCCGGCTCTGCAGCGGTGTTGCCCGTGCGGCTCCGTTGATGCGGGGACTTCTGACGAGGTTGATGGGCCAATACTGTTCCTGGCGCGAGATAAGCGGTCTGTGTTGAAACAGACGGCGCGAGGCGCGAACAGGGCGACCCGTGTTGAGACGGGCCGGGCGGCAAACGGGCATCGACAGGCCGGACTCGACTGCGCCCGGCGCGCGGCACGGACCAATCACCCCATGTCAGGTAGTCCACGCCAAAGTGCGTCCCCATAGGGGTAGTGTGGCGAAGACTCACGATTGCGTAGCATGGGAGCTGATCATAGAAATATAGCCGATCAAAAGATTTGAGATGAAAGAATCCTGCGGAGACCGCGACAGGTGGTGCTGCTGCGGACGTAGGCGTGGCGTGGCGCTATGTTTGAGCTGACTGGGCCTGCGGAGACCGCGACAGGTGGTGTTGCTGCGGACGTAGGCGTGGCGTGGCGCTGTATTTGAGCTGACTGGGCTGGCGGCTAATCATTTGTCGGTGCGTTCCGGCACTGTGTTCCGATGAGTCGCATAGCGTCTGTGACGGGACCGCAGGCGGACGAGTGGTCGGCTTTGGCCGGCGGTGCCTGCCTGCTGTGCTCTGTGGCTGTAACTGACCGAGCAGGGATGGGCGGGCGGCTGACGCATGCCTGCCGCTGACAGGGTCGGCGCGGCCGCTGGCGGACCACGCAAGCTGTCCGGTCCCGTCGGAGACGGCGAATGCTTCTATTGGCGAACGGCCGAGTGCACGTACGGAACCGCTTGCAAATACAAGCACATTCCAGCCAGCAAGGGGATTGACCGGAAACAGTGGCGCCGATAGTGATGAGCCGCAGCAGGAGCGGCGGCCGACTGGGGGCGGGTGGAGCCGAGCCGGTCGCGGCAGGAGCGACGCCACAGCCGAGTGGCTGCGAGCTGCTGTCTCTGCGCACGTGGGCCAGTGAACAGGCAGCGGGCAGTAAATCAGTAGGCACACGACACCACTGGTAACCAGTACCACGTGACATCACGGGGAACCTGTAATCACGACA